CAATATTATTCTTGAAACTTTTAAAAGATCATTTTTAGTAATTACTACTATTCTTTTGAACACTCCAACTACCTAAAAATATTTAACTCATACCTTTTCATTTCTTTTTATTCTATCAAGAAATGATTCCAAATTACTATTAACTTGACCAGACTTCATCTTTTTCTTTCTAATTGATATCAAACTATTGATCACCAAAATTTTTTTCAAGATTTAAAACTCAAACCATTTTATCTACATACTTTCTTTTATATTAACTATATCAAAGATATAAACACAGAAACACCTATATTACAAATTTACAACAACCCTAAATTTCATATATAGGCACTTGACTTATACATCTACTAGATGTTTAGCTAATATATCTTATTCTGCTTTGACTTTTAATTTTTTTTCACAGAATAGACCAATATTATATATACAAAACTTTATCAGGTTCTTCTTTTTGTATTATGAAATAGATCTCTACTATATCTGTTTTAAAGCTAAGGATTGTTTGTATGAATTGCCTAGTAAGACCTTTGATTATTGTATTTTTCTAACAAATAGAAACATTTAATTCTTAAGGAAGATTTATAATTCTTTTTTTATCATCTATCTTAGTTTCTAATTTAGCTAGTTTGTCAGCTCTATTATTTTACTTATTCTTATTATGACTTCTCACCTTAACTAATTTAATTAATCTTATTAATTTTATGAATTAAGTAAAATACCACTGTAGCGATGATCTCATACTATAAGATCTGGTGTAATATGAAATCAAAACAATAAGTCAATGCGTTAGTTTAGAGTTAGGGTGAGGGTTAGGTTAGAGTTAGGGTAACATGTTTTAGCAAAGAGTTTTTAACCCAAAATATCATAAGGAATTTTTTTTGTTAGAGCGCAAGAAATGGTTTCATAGGCAAAATTTTGCATTATGGGTAATTTTTGAAAAAAAAATATAATCGCTTTGATTTTACATTACACCTGATCCTGCATTCTAATTGGTTGATCAGGGGTAGCGATACATCACCATAGCAGTATTTTACAAAATTCTAATTTTAATTATGTCTATAATACTATCTACTAAATTAAAATTCTTTTCTTTTAGAAATCACTATATCAAGTTTTTCTTTTTTCTTTCTTCTATACTTGTTATTGCTACTGTACTATCTGTATAAATCTTTACTTTCTACTACCAGATACAATGAGGAGTATATACCAAATTCTTAACAGTTCTGCTTTTGTTAATGATGGTCAATTTTGTACTCCAAAATATCTCTCATTAATTATTTCACTTTTATCTTTATTTGTTTGTACCCAGCCTGCTTATATTCTGTCTAGCTTGTTTTATAAAAGTGTGTTTATAAAGATCTATTAATATAAAATATCATCTGAGTTTAGAGGTTTTCTTGACTACTAGGTTCTTTTCAATAAACTCATTCTGCATTATTGGACTGATACACTACCTCTTGATAATTTCAGTATCTAGATTGTAACAAAGAACTTCTTGTACTTCTCTCTTATTTGAGAATAACTTCAACTTTAGGAGATTTTGTATTAGACTAAACATTTTTTGACTAATTTTGAGTGTGTTCTCTTTTTGTTTATTAACAAATCTTGAAATAGAATCTTTTTAACTTTTAATTAGAATAAAAAGGCTTTTACTTAATATTTTTATAATTTTGAAAATTATTTTAACAAATTATATAATTTTTGAGTTATTTGATTCAAAAAGTTTAATAAAGAATTATTTAATTTTAAGATCTTTAACTCTATTTAAAATTAAAATTAAAATTTTAAATAAAAGATTATTAATTATTAAAAAATAGATTATAACTAATTTTCACCCATGGTGATATCACCCGGTATTATAAAATTTTTATTAAAAACTAAATAACCTTAAGGTTAGGGTTAGAGTTAGCTTTAGGTTAAGGAAAGAGGTATTTTTACATGCAAAATTTGCCGTTGAAAACTTTTGCTTAATGTCGAAGCATAGTTTTTATAAAATTTTGAGTTATTGGTTTTTTTTTATTTCTTCGCTTTGTTTTGGTTACGCAAGATCCGGCGATCTGATTGGTTTTACATATAACTAGGTGATATCACCCCGGGGCAAGTTAGCAATAGTCTAAAAAATATATAATTAAAATTTAAAAAAAGAGATATATATATATTTTAAAATAAGTTTAATTTAATTTTTTTTTGAATAAATTTATATATAAATTGAGTAAGTTAACTTATTTGATTTAAAATAATTACACTCTGTTGAATAAGTTTTTGACTGTTAATATTAAAATTTTTAATTGTGAAATAGAAATAATAAGATAGAAATAAGCCAAATTTTTAGTAAAGTAATAAAATATCAATGCTGTTTATAATTATGCAACATATTCTACAAGGATACGTATCATTTCACCGACAATCACTTCACCGACATCTTAGTTCACCGACAATTGATTCACCGACAAGTTCATTTCACCGACAATTAATTCACCGACAAGTTCATTTCACCGACAAGTTTTTTTTATAAATTACACTAACCTTAACTCTAATTCTAGCCTGACCTTAACGACAATGACCAGAATTACTTCGTCTGTGAAATGAGCTGTCGGTGAATTAATTGTCGGTGAAATGAACTTGTCGGTGAATTAATTGCCGGTGAACTAAGATGTCGGTGAAGTGATTGTCGGTGAAATGAGCACCACCCGTTCTCGTTCTACAATTAGCTATAAATAAAAATCAAAATTTGTAAAGTCATAAATCATAATTCTCTAATTCATATTTTTTTTAATATTGTAAGGTTGAAGTACTACAGTGATTAGATAATATTAGCTTCGTTTACTATACCTTATAATAATATTGCTTGAAATAAACTAATACAAACTATAACTTAATTTAACACAGTTTGTTAGCTTGATTACAGAACAATCATAACCATACACAAACAAATTTGTCTATAAAATAGAGTAGAAGATAAAATAAAACATAATAAGCAACCTTTGAATTTATAGCTTTAGTTATTAAAGGTGATATATAAATAAATGTCGCAGCTGATGCTGAAATTTGGAGTCTCGATTTGAAATATAAACCCTGCTAAAATTAACATGCGCTTTGATTATCAACTCTAACACTAAAAAAAAGCGGACAAAAACACCCTAAAAATTTTTAAAATTTTTATATCAAAATCGGTCCAAATTTCGGCATCAGCCGTTTTTCAGCATTAGCTGCGACAATAAATAAATTCTAACGCATTACAATTCTAAATTATATCTTCTTTGTTTTCGTTTTTTAATAATTACCGTAAAAGGTCATATAAAAGACCCGGGTCTCTTACATTCCACCAAAAAAATTAATTAGTAAAAAAAAGAAAATAATTGATATATGGGGGGATCTTTTATATGACCTTTTACGGTATGTGTTTTTCATTACGGCGCATTTGCGGAATTAAGCAGAAATTGGTCACCAAAATCAAAGCATTTGGTCCCGAAATTAATTTTTGTTACCAAATTATACCGGGTTGGTGAAAAGTAACTGGATAGTGACCTTTTTATTATCTCCGTTAATATTGAATTTCTATAATTATTTATTATATCTACGTACGTACGTAATATTGTTATAAGCGTTATGTGATAATCAATAACGATACGCAGTGATTAAAAAAAGGTCACTGTCAAGCTACTTTTCACCAACCCGGTATAAGTAATAGTTATATCCTGGGCAGTTGGGTATAAGCGGGACTTTCAGCCCCGCTTATCACATAGTGCCCAGGGTATAACTGATTTATGCCCTACGATCTTGATATAGTGACCAGGGTATAATAATCAATAAATGGTAAGCCCGAAAAAAAATTTTTAAACCCCTGATCTGCACTAATAACGCGTCTAACCCATCTTTCTCACAGGCTAACCCATCTTCCCACACCCAACGCATCTTATTGGACATAGGAATTTATTAAAATGACTTGGGAACGTTGATTATATAAGCTACATAAAATCTACATTTACATATTAGTGATAGCTTACAAATGCGTCGTAATAATACGCTAACCTGGTATGTATTTCAAATCCTATCAGAGTAGGTCTTTCTGATCTTTTTATTATGTTTATTAAAATCTTATTATACAGCAGATGCTAACACTCTTCAAAAACTATAACGATAAACAATGTTTATAATAATTTTTATTATTGTATAAATAAGTTACCCGGACAATTGATTTACATTAGACAATTAGATGAATTTCTTCCCAATACTGTATAAAATGTATCGTTATTATGCAATCCTATCAATTTTATTTAAAAGGAAATATGGCTGATCACGATAGGTCGGCTAAAGTGGTGCGAAGTTTAGGATTACCTTTTTTTGATGCAGTTATGGTGAGTACGTTATGTGAACATCAAGAATGCAATTCATGCAATCTGTAGATCATACATTGATTCGCCACGCTTTATTCGCCCCAAAAGACATTCATCGACAAAAAAATCATTCGATTATAACATCCAATCAGAATCAAGATTTTGTGTACGACGCCAAACTCAAATTGAACCATCCACTCTACGTGACGATTATTAAGATCTTTCATAATTGTCACGTGCAAGTACCATTTTTACTACTAAATTCATATTACGATCAATCCTACTTAGACGAATTTTGGGGGAGTTTCGCAAGATAATAATTATAAGACAATTAGCAATAATGTTCTTTTATTCCAGTTAAGAGGTTATGAAGTATGGCTTAACAAAATTTGGAGAAATCGCACAATAATAGATCAAAAAAATTTAAGCGGGCAAATTTGCATGTTGGACGGTTTAAGGGATACATGTTCATTATAAAATTTATCCCTAAACTCTAACCCAAACCCTAACCCAAGCCTAAAAAAATGCATCCCGTGGCTTTCTATCCTTCATTTCATTTTAATCCGATTTCATTTTAATCTGCACATATATTACGCTTTAAAAAGTAAATTTAATAAAACCGTGTGATCTTAATTTGAATTTTATTTTATTGTATAATCCTATTTGCTAACCAGTTTTACAAGAGTCGGCAATTTGTTGAATTTCACTTCGTAATTCATCAATTTTTTTCTCACATGCATTCCATTCATCTATTTTTTGAGGGTATTTTTTTCGTTTTCCTGATAAGGTGGTCATATCATTATTTAAAAAAATCAGAAGCTTATTGCATGTATCCTGAGATGGAGCATCCCTAAGTTCAGGGAGAATAATTTCGGCTAATTTTATGCCAGATTTGAAGATTCCAAGTTTTGCGGATTTCTCCATATATTCACGAGATATTTTTAGACAGTTATGGGCATAATAAAAGATTGCATCGTTGCAGCCTGCATCGGCAGAATCTCTGTAATATTCGAGTGCTTTTTTTTTGTCTGTTGATACAGCATACCCATTATCATAATAATATCCAAGGTAGAATATCGATTCTTTGTGTTTATATTCACTTGCCAACATGGAAAAGGTTATAAAGGCCTCATCATAAATTTTGTTTTTATGATTATTAACAGCTAGCTTATACATTTCTTTAACCTTATTCTCATCAAATTTAACGCCGTGCGTATCACTGGGGCTGTCAACCTTTCTGTCCACAGAATCTAGCTCCTTTGATATAGATGTTGATGAAGAATCATCATCGCCCAAGCATTTAAAAAGCCCCTCATAAATTTGAAATGCTGTCAGGCGATTACTATTGTCATGGTCCCATGATTTTTTCATTATTTGCATATACTTGTTTGGGATATGTTCATCAATGGGCGCTGGGCGGTTTTTATTTAAGACATAGTTATCGATTTCTCCAATGCTATTCATATCTGTGTAAGGTATTTGTTGAATAGCAATCACCCACATTACAATACCAAAGCTATTAAAAAAGATTTAGTGAGAATAAATGTTTTGATTTTTAGCAAGAGCTTTAATGATTACCTATAAATATCACATTCCTTTGTGTAGTAATATTTCGAATCATTGAGCTTCTCGGGTGCCATATATCTGTAATAAAGTAATAATATTAACGACAATGACTGACTGTAAATCTTTAACAAATATAGTAAGTCATCTGATAATACCTGACATCATCTATCGACAAAATTCTAGAGTTTGTAACGTCATTTTTTTTTCTGCTCAAATCGAAATTTGAAAGTTTTGTACATAGATGGGCATCAAGCAATATATTTGAGCTTTTAATGTCATGATGAAGAATTTCACGGTCATGGCAGAATACCAATCCGTTAGCAATACCCTTAGCAATTTTTATTTTTACGTTCCAGTCAACTTCAGGATTTCGCAACAAATATTCTTCGAGATTACCATGTTCGCACCATTCAAGTATCATATATTCTTGACCTCTTGACTTGTAAATCCCGAAACTATGAACAATAATTAAATTTGAAAACCTTTCTAATTAATAAGTTTGATATAATAAAAATGATTCTTACAATTTTATGACATTCTCACAATTTGATAATAGTTTAAGCATGTTAACAATTTTAAGAGAAATGCTATCACGAGAATTAAAAGGTCTTTGCGCAACGTCTTGTGTTAGGTATTTTTTCTTTACAGCTTGGCCCCTAACGACTTGTTCTTGATAATCCTGCTCTAAAATTTTATTATTTAACATAATATCGGTTTTCCACCCGTCAATATCAAGTTTCATAGCAAGCAGATAGATATCGTTATGAATTTTATCTACACTTTTATTAATTTTTGTTACATCCTCTTTTATTTCTACTACACCTTCCACTCTTACTTTGGCATCTACTACACTTTTCTTTATTTCTTTTACATTATTCCCTATTTCCACTACGTTTTTATGAGTATCCTTTGTAATTGCGAGGGAAAGCTCTTCATTTGCGGCAATGAGTCTATAGTATAATATCATGAATTCTTGTTCAAGCTAAAAACAAAAGAAATAGTAAAGTATTATATATGCAAAAAAAAAGAAAAAAAGAAATACAACGATCAAATTGCGATCTACATTAAAAACATACCGCTTTTGCATTCATAAATTTTTTCGTTATTGCCCAGGCTTTGATTTTTGCATTACCACCTGTTAATATCTCAATGCGCTTTTCGATTTCAGTTAGCACATTATAATAACGCGTGAAGGCATCAATGTCTTTAATGACAATATCATAATCATAGCCAGATTCTAGTATCAATTTTGCATGTCTGAGATGTCCATCGATAAATTTACATAAAGCTTTGTTAGATGAGTTCTTTTCAATTTTTTCTATTACTATATCAATGGATGCGGCAATGTTGCTAGCAACTGGAATTGCCTGGGCAATTGTAAGACCTGCGTCTATGATAATTTTGGCACAATCTTTGACTTCCGAAACCATTTAATTGCAAGAAATAATATTATCTGAATTATTTTTAAACAGTAAAGTTAGGCTTTAAGTAATAATCAAATCACTTATATATTAATATATTGTGCAAATGACATTGGAATTCTTTAAACTAAGATCCTAAACTAGGTATTAACGTAGTTAAAATTATTTAACCTTTATAATTGTATATACTAATATTTTTATATTCACATCTTTCAAATACTATGCCGCATCTAAAGTGGGATTTACTTATTTCCCACCGTGATACTGTACAAACATATGAAATAATAAAATTCTATTTGCTTTAACTTTAGAGTCAAAATTAGTGTCATTTTAGGGTTAGATATGGCTGAGATTATACTAAAATTTTGCAAGGAATTCTTTTTCGTTAGAACATAAAAGGCAAAATTTTGAATTTTAGTAGGAAAATACTTTCTACCCTAACCCTAACGCAAACTGTTTTGATTAGTCTAGGCCATCTGATTGATGCATTTTTCACGTCCTACTACATACGTACGTACGTACGTACGTACGTACGTAGATTAGAATTTAGCCCCTAAATTAGATCTTCATGCATGTAATTCCAGTCAGGTGTTTAGAAATCTAAAGTAGCAACTCCAGGATAGGTGGCTACTTCAGATGTGAAAATTATACTAAAATTTTTGACATATATCAATATAATATTTGTGTATGCTTCATAAATTCTTGTGCTTAAAAGCACCCGAATACGAATTTCGAGAAAATGGTTATACATTAAAATAATTAGATTGTTTTTACACATCCCTTTTGACACATTAATTCGTGCAATATGTTCAAATTCGCATACGACGTTCAAATTCATACAAAAATGACATTTCAAATTCATACAAAACTTGTACAAATGACAAATTCATACTAACTGACATTAAATTTGTATATGATATTCAAATTTGTATAAAACTATATCCAAATTCATACAAAACCATATTCAAATTCATATGCATATATGATGTCAATTATTAATTGGCATAAATTAAGGTGACATATTCTTTTAAAACGGGTATGTGTTTATTGGATTTGAAGTTGCCCTCTATTTGAAGTTGCAACTTTAGATATCTAAAGTAGTACCTGACTAGAATTATATGATAAAGATCTACTTTACACAAATCTTAAATTTGCGATAGCATTAAAATATTCTAGGCCTAGTGTAAATTATTAGATTATAGGTCGCCAAGAGGAATTTCCATAGTAAATCGCAATTAACGAGGTTTTAATGGGTTTTTTGACGAAATATGAAAAATTGACAATTTTTCAAAAAACCTCGTTAATAGTGCTAGTAAGAAACTAAACTTCGATTTGCTATGAAAAATTCCTCTTAGTGACCTATAACATTAATAATTCACACTAGATCTAGAATATTTTAATGCTATCGCAAAAATGTATGATTTTTGTAAATACTGCCTTTACAATATTTTGAATTACTGATGACTTTCATTTCTTGAAAAAATTATTTAGTAAATCCCTCCTAAAAACGAACAAAAAAAAACGTAAAATAGAATAAAAAGATTAAAGGAAAAAATTTAAAAAGTATAAAAATAAAAAGTACTATCCGTGTAACTTAGCTATTATTATAGATTTTCATAAAAAATCTCATGAATCTTTCTATCTGTAACGCTATAGATCCGCCTTATGAATGATACTTTATATAGGGTGTGATCTTACATAAGGTAAAAAATATTTGGTATTTCTTTGACTATTTAAAATGATTATCGAATATTACATACTTTCCTTATGACTTAACGCATTCTATTTATGACTTTATGAGTTATATGTAAAGTTGACATATTCTATTTATTCGTCTATTAACAGTATAGTGATATACTAATATCTAAGTCTCCAAACCTGTAATTAATAACGTTACTTCAATTCAAATGCCCCTTTTTATTTTTTTATTACTTAAGGGACATATTGAGTGGAAACTCATTAATTTTATAAGATTGATCACCTTGAATACAAGTTGAGAACTGAACCAGGAAAATGTCGATCTGGGAATTAATTGATTCTCCGATTGATCATTAAAATGATTAATAAATACTGCTATAAGAATGATAATTTATTGATCGGAGAATTCATTAATTCTCAGATCGACATTTTCCTAGTCCAGTTCTCAGTTGGCGATTGTGGTTATAATTACGAGTT